ATATAAATATATTTTTAGTATATAATGTATATATTTCAGAATATTTGCATGCATTTGGCTACATGAACTATATATAAATTACTACATTGAACTATATATAATTAAATAATATCCTATATTCAACAATCTTGTATGATTTAATAAATTATGATATTTAATAAATTGGAAAAGATACAAAAAAAGGTCAAAATAATTTAAATACATTTTTAATGATTCTTAGCATTTTATGATTAGAGATAAGAAAAGAATTCTTAAATCATTAAATATTCATAATATTGAACTTGGTCAGAATCTTTAATCAAGATAATGCAAATTAATATGGAATGTGACAAGGTTACTGCAGGAACTCATTATTACGCTATTCGTTTGAAGGCGTACGGTATTCTGCGTAATATTACAGCGTAACTCATTAGTTTAATTATTACATAGTCCCTCCAAGCATATGCTTGGGGATAATCTTACAAAATGAGTAAAGCAGCACGTGAAAGAACATTAGCAGCATAATAGAATTTACGTTTGACCCCGATATCTCTACATCTTGTATTGGCTGCGAAAGCTAAAGTTATTGATGAAGGCTCTCATCATCATAAATCACTTTTGATGAGGAAGGTATATATTATTCGCTTGTAAAACATTATTTGACGCGTCATCGCAATTTCTTTTAAGACAATTGCGACAGCCAAGAGAAATCCCGCGACTTCCGATAACAGCACATGGAACGATTGGTCTCTTTTATAAAGCTTCGCAATTACACGAAACTAATTTCAGCATCGACTCGACTATCGGTTCGTTATATTTCTTGTGAAATTATCTTCATTCACCATTTGTTCAAAGACCATTTTTTACATGATGCAGGTTTTTTTAATGGATTTTCTGTTAGACCTGTTCATGCTATAAACATTTAATTTTTATATAATTTAATATTTTTGTAGTTTAGTAATTTTATAATTTACATAAGTTATTATATACTTTGAGTTGTTATATACTTGTTATATAATATTATACATTCAGTATCATAATATAGTTTGACATCATAAAATAATTCAATATTATTAAATAATTTTAACTAAGGTCACGAATAATAATAAGAATAATAATTCGGCAATTCAGCTTTTTGCTACGAGGAATTCTATTCAATTATAAAGTTATATTATTGTTATAGGTTAATCTATTATTTTGTTATAGGCGGTTTGGATGATCTAGTTTATCATCTACACGGCTACAATTTTTACGTGGTGGGCGCCCGACAATTTGGGCGAAGTGTATCACTGCAAGAGCTGAAAAAACTTGATGAGAGAAGCCAACTGTTTTCGCGGAATTTCGATTGCACATTAATCAAGGATACCATCGTCGTGCCTAAATTTGGTGCCGTGGCACTGCGATTTAAAGCCGACAATCCAGGTTCTTTTCTTATTAAACAAACCTTTTCTTATTAAACTGATATAAATACTTAATGTATAAAATCCTATTCAAATTCAATTGTTAATTTGATAACTTTGTTTAGCAAATTGAAAATAATTCTACTGTTAAAATATACGAAGATATTAGCAATTGATGGGATTATATTAATGATTAGAAATGAAGAGTTTCTCGCAAACTGAATTTCACTGTATAATAAATATAATAGCAAAACTTTTGACTTTAAGTTCAAACCTTAGTTAACTTAAAACCATTAATCATTTTTTTTTCTCGTTTATATTAGATTTACAGAACAGAATATTAAAAATATGTGTATATAATACAAATAATTTTAATGTTACAATAATAATACCAAAATAGCTTCTCACTAATCGAAAAAAAAAGGAAATTATTAAATTGCCATCTTTCAGTTTTTAACAGAGTTTTTTAATCATTTTTAATCATCGGCGGTTTTGGTGTTAATAATTAATAATTAAGATATCTATGTCGATATTCATAATCAAATTTTATATTCAAAACCGTCTTAAGTACAATCTTAAGAAGTCACGAATCAATCAGGGTCATATTAACGTTTTAAGACGTCATTACATAAGACAGTCTTGAAATAAGAAGAGTCTATGAATATCACTCATAATATTTTTATTAATTAAAAAACTGACTTAATAAATCTATCAATCTATCAACAACTCGATAAAACTTTTATCTGATTTCGCAGGTTATTGGATGTTGCGGGATGAGCACGCGACTGATTGGACTCGTGGTTTAGATGTTATCTTGCAAGTTGGGGAACCTAGCGACATGGTGGCGCCGCCACAGGACTTTCCAAAATGTGGATCCTTCGTTGGACCCGATTACTTCCTTATATAGACTGCTTAATCGTTAAATATATAATTGTATATAATTGTATATAATAATAACGCTTTGAATAGAAAGTATTTTATTGTTAAATAAACTTTACGAATTTTTATAAACAAATATTCATTTATGTTCGCTAATCGTTTGGAAATTTTCGATCACTATTTTTCTTGGAAATCCGATTATCGGGAAAATTTTAATTGAATGCCAATCTCTTTACAACTTCTCCATTCTTAACTTCAAGGAACTTTAAGGATATATTGATTTATAATTTAAATTATAATTTAATTATTAATTATTAAACTATTTCAGTTTAACATGTAGCTCAATTTTGTATAATTTTCAACTTTTAATAACTGGCTTAAATATACGTATCATCATGATGAACCCCCCAGAACTGAGCACTATTATATAACTAGTCGAAATTCGAATTCTGATTGCAATTATTCCGTTTTTTACTCTTTAAACTCTTTAGAATAGAATCTCACAATAAAGAATAAAAATTGAGCCATTCTTGGAAAAAAGATTCAATCACTTATCAATTTTTAAGAATGAGTTTCATTCTTCAGAATTTATTTCTAAAAATTTTAGTGAGTAGAAAATAATAGAAAGAACCTAAAGAATAATTGAACAATTTCGACCGTAATTCAGAATACTTCGGTAATACACATAATCTATTTTGAACACTATATATATAATATAATATGCACAATCTATTTAAGGTCCTATCATGGAATGAATCGGAATTCCGACATATTCCATAATAATAGGTATTTTCAACACTTCCATAATATGTTGACAAATGGAATTAATGTGCAAATTTATATATCTATCGAGAATATATCAATGTTTCCGTCGTTATCACTCGTTCCTTCTTTGAACAAACGATAGGCGCTATACAGTTCATTTCAGCGCACGTCAGGCGTTTCGATGTAACTGGATGTAACTATTATAACCACGATTCGTTCCTTCGCGGTGACAGATAATTCCGAAAGGCCAGGCTGACGCGTAAGCCCTTGTCAGTGATGTCCTGCCTGAGCGCGTTGCACACGCAGATAGGGACCCTGCTTTCCGTGCCCCACGAGATTCTACTTCTGCGACACAAGGTTTTCCGTGAATATGCGAAAATCGCAGTTGGACCAGACTTTATCCACACGCTGCCATCCTTCCTAATCCTGACGGCCGTGCTATTCATCCTCTGGAAGAATCCTCCGTCCTCCACGCGGCTTATGAACATCGTAGGCGCGACATTTATTTATAAAGTATTTCAGGTACAAAAATCATCGCATCTCACGTGTTAATGCCCTTCTGTATACACGTGCATCTTTCAAGGTGTCAGTTAGCTGGCTCACAATTAATGCTCTTTTATGGCTATGGCTGATCCTCCAAAGGATACTCTATTGCAGCGTCTGGCATTATTGGAGTTACGTGAGTGGATTCGTTATTATATTCCTCTTATAACAAAGAAATTGCTTTCGTAATGCTTGAATTGTCTACTTTTATGTAATAAAGAAAATAAGATATGTATGTAGAAAAAAGGGAAATAATTTTCTAAAGCTTTTCCCAAAGAATAAAATATTATAATATTTTTTAGAAGTAAATTTTAATCTAAATTAATTATTATAATTCATATAATTAATTATTATAAGTCTCTATAAACTAATTACTAAGCCTAAAATTAGATAATTACAAGAGGTTAATTACAAAATGTAATTAATTAAATTCATTATATAATAATTAGTTTATACAGACTTGTAATAATCAGTTGTACTAATTATAATAATTAATTTGAATCTTCTATGTGATATATAATATTTAAAAAATTTCTGTAATTGATAGGAATCTGAATATCGAGATGTTTCATATCCCTGGTGGCAACATGTCTGGTCTTCATATTATCCTGTACCCATACAGCCACCAGTGATGTCGGCCGGTTTTATTAGTTGGATTATCGCGATGTTGATTGCCATAACCGCTTTGGGATGTGCAAACTCTACAGATCGCATGGAAACTTTTGTTAAAGTATCTTTAGCTAAATTTCGGAACGCGTTTGCAATGATCAAATTATATATGGAATGGTCAGAGGATGGGTAGGTATTGCGATTTGTGTATCAATTACCTTCTTTCGTACATTAGCTTTTGTTGCAGAAGGAAAAAAATAAAGCGAAAAAAATGTTATTTGTATCATAATTATTATTAATTATTGTTATTAATTATATCTTGTCCTCAGAGCGCAAGAGGAGATCCTCGTACCTACTGAAGCAAACATGATATTGGATGAAATCAGTACAGGTTACGACGATGGCCGCTCAGAAACGTTGAACGATACAAATCATGCAGCGCGTGGGGATATACATCCGATTTCTTACGGAACGAATTGGATGCCGCAGCCAAATTTCTCCCCGTTCAAGGAAATGCAGCGAAAAATATCGATGAAATCCTTTCACACGGTGACAGGCACCAATGACATTCAGGTAACAATTCATGTGTGTGTATGTACGTGCGCGCGCGTGTGTGTATGAGAGAGAGAGAGAGAGAGAGAGAGAGAGAGAGAGAGAGAGAGAGAGAGATTTACGTCTCATTTTATTATTTCTTGTTGCCTTTAATTTTTCAATGAAGG